TTGGACGGACGGGCTGTCACCACCACTTGTGGCCACCTTTTTTGTATCCAAAGGGATGAAATACCTTCATTTATGCATATAATTTCTTTCCTTCAAACTGCAGAGACTCGATTCACTAGGACAAGGTTTCCTTAATTATTTTTAAGGCCCTGAAGATGCCAATAAGATTCTCAGCAATGATGCTGCTTGCCCAATATGTGATCAAGTGCTCTCTAAAAGGTATTGGAACGTTTGTTCAACCACCAGTTTGTAGGTTGTCAATGAGGAGTTGCATGTAAGTTGCTTTTGTTAGGCAAATGACATACGTGATCGTTGTCTACAGTAGGTCAAGAATTTTGTTGCATTGTGCTGTATATGATATGAAAATCATTCATATGGCGTTCCTTAGTCTTGGAGTAACTAAGTCGTCAATGATAAGTTTGTGCTCTATATTTTATTTGTTTATGGCGTTTGTTTGATTTGACTTTTTTTTTTTTTTTACATGACTTGGTCTTTCACTTGCAGTCTTATGAAACCTGTGGACATCAATCCAAATGATGAATGGATAAATGTAAGAAGCCACTCGGCCACTCCTGAAAACTCCCTTGTCATCTCTCTCGGCTTTTGTACGTGATATTACCTTAAGTTATGTTGCACCAGCTACCTCGCTGATTCTTTGACACTCTCCTGCAGATGGTCATGGCTGGGATATCTCCTCAGATATGTATCCTCAGCAATTCATTTCATATTTTCAATACCATGAATCATAAATTTGGCTAGTTATTCACTTGAGCATGTGAATATCTTGTTAGCAAGTTTCATTTACATCTATTTCTTAGTTCGAATATGTTTCTCAGAGTATGTGTTTGTCCCATTCATTTTCCTACGACATTCCCAGTAATGAAGACTGCTTACAGAAGTGTAATGTTTTATATTGGGCAAAAGGATTTGGAGATGCAAGCTAAGATGAACAAAATAGTAGGTCAATGCCGGCAGAAATGTGTAGCAATGCAAGAGAAGTTCACGGAGAAAATGGAGCAGATCCATACTGCATACCAGAAAATGGCCAAGAGGTGCCAGATGATGGAGCAAGAGCTTGAGAGCTTGTCTAAAGACAAGCAAGAGCTGCAAGAAAAATTTTCAGAGAAATCCAGGTCAATTTCTATGCAATTTCTCGATGACCTTTTCAACTTTTGGAGTCCATCATTGTGGTGCATGAAAACTCATGAACTATTAATCTCTGACAGGCAAAAAAGGAAACTTGAGGAAATGTACGATCAATTAAAAAGTGAATATGAGTCGATGAAACGATCAGCAATTCAACCTGCAGACAGCTTCTATACAAGAGTAGAGCCTGATTTGTTCTCAAGTCCTGCTACTATGGTGGGGAATAGAGATGCTACTAGAAAAGGTAGTTCCGTTCTGTTTAAAGCATGGGCAGGTCATTATGAAGTGGTTTAGATTGGTAAACTGAAAAAATAAAAATAAAAAAATCATGTTTAGCATCTGAACAAGTTTTGACCGAATTCTTTAAATTTGTCTTTTCCTCATTAATGTTATAACATTTTACCATGTCTATTGTTTTCTTCCAAAAAAGTATAGTTGACTTATTTTTTGCAGATTGGTGGGTTCGCACTCCTGAAACTCCAGGACCACGAGAGGACCTGTGGCCAGCAAGACAGAAAAGTTCCAACTCTGGGCCCTTTGACATATCAAATGGTTCTCCTGGGAAACACTCAACAGTTCCAATTGATGCCGGAAACAGGATGGCTGGTGCTCGCCCTTCTTTTGGCGGTGGGAGTGGAATAGCTAGCAATCCCTCGATGACTCTAAGGAATCTTATCCTTTCACCAATAAAGCGGCCTCAGCTCTCTCGTAGTCGTCCTCAAATGTTCACGTAAGCTGCTAAGTTTTAATTGCACTTAACTATTTGAGCACCTCTAAATTCATCGTCAATTCTTGGTTATCCAGGTTGTAGATCGGAGAGAGCTCATTTTGCTCCATCCAACTTTTGTAGCCTTTCAGTTCTTGTGTGCGGTCCTCCTTAAGTTGACTTGTCAAAAGAAATCATAAAAAAAGAAAAAAAAAAGTGCATTTATGGACCAGTAGATTTCGCTCTTGTAAAGATGGCTTGATAACCGAGCAATACAGCAATGCAATTAGTATGGGCTTGCACGCGTCAAAATTTTTGTTCAACAATTTCGATCTTTTCTTCATTGATGCAAGGGTTTGATTTGAGTAGAAATGCATTCCTTTCCACGTGTTCACGGCTTCAATTTCGTTCTTTCATCTTTTCTGCGTATGTTCAAACGCCTACATGTTAGCATATATCCGCATAAGTTTCATTTGTAATGCAAATTGTTTGAAATGAATGATTTTGGCCATAGGGGTGACGAGAATCTCCCATAAATTCTTCAACGTAACATCTTAAGATTCTTAACCTTTTATAGTCTGTTGTTTGTCTGGCATGGAAGGGGTGCAAAAATTAAAGTTGTTAAAGAACATCGCTCAACTTAAATGACTTAAGGGCATGTTTTCTTTACTGTTTACTCTTCTTGATTTTTCAAAACAGTGAAAACGCGTTTTTTTCTATTTTCGAAAATGTTTTTTGAAAATAAGTTAAAAATTTACAAAGAAAAACCCAAAACGTTTTTGGTGTTTTCAGTTATAATCAGCCAAAATTTTCAAAACGTATTTTGGGTGTTTTCAGGCCTACACCACGACACCAACGCCGTCGCAACCACCACCATCGCCGCCTACACCACACCACCACAAAAACTGTCGTCGCTTTCGCCACCACAACATCACCCCAACCACCACCATCGTCGCCTGCACCATACCACCACCACACAATTGCCAGATCCACTACCACAAAAATCGTCACCACACAACTGCCAGATCCACCACCATAAAAACCGCCAAAATCGCCGCAGAACTACCATCACCGCATGCACACCACCACCATAGCCATGCACCCAAACACCACAACCACACCACAACACCACGCACTCAAAAATACCACACACCATCACCAGAGTAAAAAAAAAAAAAGAAGAGAAAGATGAAGCTGCCGACGATCTCAGCCACAACCAACCATCGTCGCATAGAGGAGTGAAAGAAGAGCGAGAGACGAGAGAGAAGGGAAAAAAGAGAACTGGTTTTCCAATTTTTGATTTTTGAAAATAATTTTCAAAATGTCAAAAAAATACATTTTCAATAATCTCAAAATAAACACTTAAAACACAAAATTCAAAATGAATTTAAAACTCAAAACACAAAATTGAAATACAAAGAGAACATCACCTTAACTTTGATCCAACCCGACCTTTTTCGATTCCCCGGACCCCAACTTAGGTAAACCAAACACAATTATGCTACTTTTTTTTAAGACTCAGATGACAATTATGCTACTTGTACAAATGTAATTTAAAAAAGTGTGTTGACAAAATGACGTAGCAATATCTAGGTTATTGATTTCAAAAATAGTTTTTTAAATTATTGGCGAAGATATTGCCAACACGTATTTTGTAAACTAATTTTGTAACTTAACTTTGTACAAGTAACATGGCTCAACCAAACAACAGGAATCGCACACCCGGACCCAATTTCCGGGTCTACAAAGTTCGGTTCGTATCATATCCAAACTCTTCCGGGAACCAAACCCTAATCCTCTTTCGGATCCTCGGATCGGATTCTCTCCGTAACCTCCTCCAACGCACAAAATTCTGACTTTCAGGTTCGAATTCCTTTCTTTTTATGTTAGATCCGATCCACTTTACATAATCCAATGCAACCTCAAGCTCGATTTTGCTCTATATGTCCTATTATATAAATTTGGTACCTTGATTTACAAACATTTAATTGGTTAAATTGATGTCAATTGCTAAATAGTTGAATTCTTGATGAGTATTTTCGGATGGTTTGCTGTATTTTAAGTGGAATTAATTGGGAATTATCTATTTTCGTTTGGAAATGTTTAAATGGGTACAATTGTTATAGTACCCTGCTTAAATAGAACCCATACAATTTTGAAATCAAATTGAACCTTCTTATTCACTTGTATTTTCGTTTCTTTTACTTGTTCTAGAGTAATTTTTTGGGTAGGGAATGAAAAAAAATTCTTGGGGAGGCAGTTCTGGTACAAGTCCTGATCAATTCATGAAGGGTTAGTTGAGTTTAAAGATATATCGTGCTGGCCTTCTGTACTATAGAACTTCACTTTTAGTTTTTTTATAATTAGATATTGTTTGTCTTATAACTAATTGTGGGATGCTCCTTTCGCGCTGTTTGTCTGCTTTGAGTCCAATGTGTTGTATGTCTAAGAATTTTGGTCCTTGTTATGACCTGCACTCTCCCCATCCATTATACACACTATTAATGGTGGTCTGTGTTCTGTTGTTAAATTTTATTGTGGTTGTTTCTTGCAGTTCTCTTATCTTAGAGGAAGCATATTAAGATTTTTGAAGTTCTTCATTTAACTGATGCAGATAGTTTTCTGCTAATATCAAGTCCATGTCATGGAAATATCAGATGAAACTCCTTCCAAGAAACCAAAGAGGTTGACTTCTGTCGTATGGAATCACTTTGAAAGAGTTAGAAAGGCAGACATGTGCTATGCTATTTGTGTCCATTGCAAAAAGAAATTAAGCGGATCTAGTAACAGTGGTACAACGCATCTAAGGAATCATTTGATACGATGTCTGAAGAGGTCCAATTATGATGTTTCTCAATTACTTCCTGTGAAGAAGAGAAAAGAAAGTACTGGTGGTCTTGCAACAGTCAGCTTTGAAGAGGGGAAAATAAAAGAAGAAATCATTACCGCCATACCATATAACTTTGTTCAGGAACAAAAGAGAGAAGAAATCAATCGACCGGTGAATGTAGGAAGTGCTAACTTTGATCAAGTTCGGAGTCAGTTGGATCTTGCCCATATGATTATGTTACATGGTTATCCCTTGGATATGGTCGATGATGTTGGATTCAAAATTTTTGTGAAGAATCTGCAGCCCTCATTTGACATCATGAATAATAGTGCTATTGAGCTTGACTGCATGACCATATACAGGAAGGAGAAACAGAAGGTATTTGAGGTCATACATCATTTGGATGGTAGAATTAACCTTGCTGTTGGTATATGGGGTTCGCCTGAAAATTCTGAGCATATGTGCCTGACGGCTAATTATATTGATTTTGATTGGAGGCTACAGAAGAAGATGCTCAACTTCATAAAACTGGATGTATCTCATACTGGTGACACGCTTTCAGAAGTTATTGTTAAATGTCTGAAGGACTGGGCCATTGACCGAAAGTTGTTTTCTATGACATTCGATGATTGTTCAGCCTATGACTTTATGGTCTTCAGGATCAAGGACTGGCTATCTCAAAACAAACCGCTTTTGAGAAATGGTGAGTTGTTTGATATACGCTGTGTGACACAACTTTTGAAATCCTTCGTTCTAGATGTCATGGAAACAGTTCGAAATGTGACCCATAAAATTCGAGAAAGTATAAGGCACATTAGAAGTTCACAAGCAGTCCAAGGAAAACTAAATGAGATTGCCCGACAAGTTGGAATCACTACTGAGAGACGTTTAGTTCTTGACTGCCCAATGCAATGGAATTCTACATATATGATGCTTGAAGCAGCATTAGAATACAGGGGTGCCTTTTCTCTCCTGCAAGAGCATGATCCTGCCTACACAATGGCTTTATCTGATGTGGAATGGGAATGGGCAAGTTCTGTTACAGGTTATATGAAAATTCTTGTTGAGTATACCAATATTTTTTCGGGAGCCAGATTTCCAACCTCCAATATATATTTTCCAGAGATATGTGATATGCACGTTCGTTTAATTGAGTGGTGTAAGAACCCAGATGATTTTCTTTGTTCAATGGCATTAAAGATGAAGAACAAATTTGACACATATTGGAGCAAATGCAGTTTGGTTTTGGCTGTAGCAGCAATCTTAGATCCTCGTTTCAAAATGAAATTAGTTGAATATTATTATCCCCAGATTTATGGTAATGATGCTCCTCATCATGTGAAAGAAGTTTCTGATGGTATTAGGGAACTTTTCATTGAGTACTCTATTGGCTCAACTACTCTGGACAAAGAATCAGCTAGGCCTGGGGGAAGCTTAGACAGTACTAGCAATAGTAGTAGAGATAAGCTTAAGGGCTTTGACAAGTTCTTATATGAAACCTCACAAAATCAGAACACAACATCAGATCTGGACAAGTATTTGGAGGAACCCGTCTTTCCACGTAATAATGATTTCAACATATTAAATTGGTGGAAAGTTCACACCCCCAGGTATCCCATCCTATCTATGATGGCACGCGATGTTTTGGGTATTCCTATGTCTACTCTTGGACTGGAGGTAGCATTTAGCAACAGTGGTAGAGTGCTTGACCATCATCGGAGTTCACTGAGTCCAGATTTGAGAGAAGCTCTGATATGTGGCCAAGATTGGTTACGTATGGAGCCAGAAGGTAATAATATTTCTTAATTGTTGCATATACCCTTGTACTTTACAGAAAAGCTGATAATCCTTTTTTCTTGTACAGCAACCGGCTTATCCTGGAGCCATTCTGCTCTGCCACTTTATCTGGAAACAAGTTGACCTATCCATGGTATGGTTTAGCAAATTTATTCTCTCTCTCTCTGCAGCATGTAGTTGTAGCAGAATTCCTGAATGTACTTTTAAAATTTAAATCCATTACTTTTGGATGTCTTAGACGAGCCAGCTACGGGAAGTGGAAATGGAAGCAGATCAGTTTTGGTTTAATTTGTTTGTTTGGAAATTTCTTGAAAAGCAATGTTAATGTAGATTAGTATTTACTCTCGACTACAATAGCTTTCCTATTTTTATGCCTCACCCTCCTGGTTTGATGTGTTACCATTATTTCGTGTTTCTTGTCTTGGAGATGCACGAGAGATAGATTCAAGATAAAGACTCCAATCCAGAATCACGTGATCTTTGACTAATACGACCCTATACTATATAAGAGACACACATACATGGAGATATGCAAGAATATGATAGCTTTATTCCCTGTTTGGTTTAGCGAAAAATTATATTTTTAGTAGATTTTGATACAAGTTGATGAAATGATTGGTTCAGAGGTGAATAAAAATTGTGGGGGCTTATTATTCTGAATAACAAATAAAGAAATGAAAATAAATAGACATGATAAAGCTTTGAAAAAGAAAAAAATAATAGATGTAGTAAAAGTTACATGAATATAGTCAAAGAAATTGTTGATCCATATAAGAGACTGACTCTTTTTGATAGACTAATTGGCCTCATAATAAATATGAATGTAAATGTGAATGGAATTTATATTGATTCGAAATTTGATTAAAAAGAATTTGTCCGAGATACAAAATTAATGGGAAAATTGCATTTGTCCTCTCCATTTTGCACTTTCACAGTTAATTTTATTTATTTATAGTATTGTCTTAAATCTTCCATTTTTTGGCACCTGTAGTCCCTAATGACGGTTTCTGTTGAAAAATGTGCAAGTTGCCATGAGCTCATCACATTCTTAACTTAGGGTGTGCTTTAAACAAGTGAAGGCATTAATGTCCTGTACTCTTTCCTCAAATTTAAATGAACAAAATATAAATGGAAAGAGAGAATAAATCTAAAAAAGGTAAATACAAAAAATACATCTTCTCAACAGCACCCCAAACCCCTTCCCTGCTCCGACCCTTCAAAACCCCAGCCCTCTACATTGCGACAACCCCTCCTGCGATGCCATTATCTTCTTCATGGAGAGACAGTTAGAAAAGAGAAAGAAATAAGCAACAAATGGTCAAAGGATTGAAGTGAACTTGGATGCGTGAGGATGAGAGGCTATATTGTTGTTTCAACACTAGTTACAGAGTGTGCTATTAATCAGAAATGTGTCGCGTGCATCCAGTTGATCAAGCACTGAGGCTGCAAGCGGCGGTCAAGATTATGCGTTCAAGCTAGAAGCGACTGTTAGGAATAAATTATAGATCAAAAGATAATAAAATAAACAATTTTTATACAATGAATTAAGTTACTCATCTTTAGCCTTTTAAGATGTAATTTCAAGTCTTATTAGCAACATTTTTGGATATATCTATGAAAAAGTTGATGATCTAGGGACTTTCAAGTAGGATTAGATCGACATCAGTATAATTATAACATAAATATTGATAATGATGAGCCACCCCACCTCACAAGCTACGTGATGAACAGAAGTTACCACATAGTACTCTTATCTATGGACTAGGTGTACACACTTATATATACACATATTCTTAAACAAGAAAGGCTACACGTACAATGCCACGTATCTCCCCCATCACAAGGGGACAGCTGTCTCCCTGTAATGTACAAGGCCGACGTGGCCATGAACGTGTAGCAAGCTTCATTCATAAACACTGTACTCCCAAAATCTGCACTAATGAGGGAAACCAACAAAATACACCAATGAAAAAAGTCAAATAAACAAGAACACAAATATCGATAGGAACACTGAATTTCCAAAAGCATAACCACACAAATTGCAGCTCTAAAAGTTGGCTTGGAGCTGATCTACAACGCTCTTATCCACTTGGAATGCTTTGGCAAGAAGATCATTAGCAATGACTGGTGTTGATCCAAAAATAGCACTTGCAATGGTTATAACACCAGGATTTTGACTGCTCAATGCAGCAAGGGCTATAGTATTTGTGGTTCCAACGTTGCGTTGGTAGTGAACAAGTCCTATCGGGAAAACAAAAACATCACCCTTTTGAAGAACTTTAGTAATGTGGCTATTATCAGGGTTGGAGGTCACGAATCCAACTTGAGAACCTTCAAGCACGATTAGGATTTCCGTGGCTCTGGTGTGAGTGTGAGGAGGGTTGATTCCCCATGGTGCATAATCTATACGAACCATTGAAATGCCCAGTCACTGGGGTAACCCTCGATCCCACTTGGTTTGATGTGTTACCAGGCAAATGCAGCCCACTAAAGGAGAAATCATTCGCCGAAACAGACATAGGATTCTTGCAGGCGAGCCCATTTACTCTTGCTGAAAAGAAGCATAGAAATTATCATTGCGACACAGAAATCTTGTAAAGGTGAAGGCTCGAATGCAAAGGCAAAGCAACCGAATGTGAGAGCTACGAGACCGAATGTGTTTCGCCATTAAACCAAAGATAATTAAGGATGAGATAGAATTTTAGAAACAAGATGAAGAATAGCACTGAAGACAAGTTTATTTATAGACTCCATTAATGCAATATTAATTTCCACTCTCTTTTGTTGTTTCATGCCGTCCTGAAATTGGAAATTCCAATACAATCTTTGCACTTTAAGGTAGAGATTGGAAATGGTCAAAATATGAAATTTTCAATGTAAAACCGATTGGCCATTTGTGGTTGTGTTATGCAATTAAGGTATTTATTTGCCGGACAGATAATGCTAGAAATTGAGTCTAATTGACATGATTATCATTCCAAAGTGAACCTTTAGTAAAATGAAAGAATTTTGAAAAATAATAAAATAAGGAGAACTTAAAAAAACACACTATATTAATAAAAATAAAAATCCATTTTTTTTACACCCAAAAAATTACTGTTAAGTTTTCGGAGAAGTTACAATCACAGTGAGCTACAATCTCTTTTAAAAATGTTATTTGCAATCGTTCATTACCATCCGATTCACCTTACATTGTTTAGACATTTATCTACCATACTAGGTGCAAGAAACGTGCAATGCACGTTTGTCTAGTTTATATTTAATAGTTTTGTTTAAGAATTAATTTGTTATTAATAAAGATGTAATTTTTTTGGTTAATTAAATAATTAATGATGTAATGTTTATGTAATTGATAAATAATTAGATGTGTGATTTTGACGTCGT